CCAGGCTTGGTCAATCCCAGCTCAGTCGGACCTCAGGACTGCTCGGGAAAATAACCCGGAAAAAAGTAACGTGCGCAACGCGCTGGGTGGATAGAGGGAAAGGGCCGGGGCGCAGGGACGCCGAATGCAGCCCGCGGTGCACACGGAGGCGGTCCCCTCCTTGCCCTCTCCCCGGTTGCGACGTCCCCCGGGGCTGCTGGTCGCGGTGAGCGCACAGCCGACCATCCCCGATGGGCGACCCTGTTCACATCCGCCTGCTCGGGTGAGGCCCCCAAAACCCGGGACACGCGTCGAGGGAGCGCCCAGGAGCCTGCGACGCCCGCTGGTGTGCAGCAAACGCTCGTCGAAGGAACGCTTCGTCTGTTCCCTGGGCCACCCAGGCCGGCGCCTGCCCCCGGGGCGGAGGAACCGTGCCCGGGTCGCGGCGAGGTCATGCAGGTCGCGCTCCCAGACCTTCGCCCCTCACCCGCTCCACCTGCCTGCTCAGTGTCCTCTGGAAACTGCTAATTCCGCACCCTAAGCGCCCTGGGACCCCGGCTTCCCAAGCTTACCCCTCCCTCACCGCCCTTCAATCGAGGCTGTGGAAAGGACAGCGCCCGCGGCCGCCAGCTGTCCCAAGCGAGGCGCCGCCGCGGTCCCCGGTTTCTCCAAATTCCCTTCTGGGAGGTGCATAACTCTGGCCGCGGGCTGCGACGGAACCCTAGAGGTCAGGAAATCCGAGCCCCCAACCCACCAGGCCGGAACCAAACGGCGGGGATAGCCGGCCTGAACGTTAAACATTGGCTTGCGCCGCAGAATATGTGTGTGATGCAGGGACGCCCCGGGCTGCTGTCTGAATTTCCCTATTGGAACCCGATAAACCTCTCTCATGTACATGTACACACGTACGTATGTATGCGTGTGTGTATATATATGTATATATGTGTGTCTATATAGTGTGTGTGCACGCGCGTGTGTGTATAGTGTGTGCGTGTGTGTGCGCGCGTGTGTATAGTGTGTGTGTGTGTGCGTGCGTGTGTGTATAGTGTGCGTGTGTGTGTGTGCGCGTGTGTATAGTGTGCGTGTATGTAGTATGTGTGCGCGCGTGTGCGTGTGTAGTGTGTGCGCGCGCGTGTGTAGTGTGTGTGTGCGTGTGTAGTGTGCGCGTGTGTGTGTGCGTGTGTAGTGTGTGTGCGCGCGTGTGTAGTGTGTGTGCGTGTGTAGTGTGTGCGCGCGTGTGTAGTGTGTGTGTGCGTGTGTGTGTGCGTGCGTGTATAGTGTGTGTGCGTGTGTGTGTGCGTGTCCGTGTGTGTTTCCTCGCACCACGACACAAGGCAGCAATAGAAAGCAAGACGAACAACCCTAGAATTTGAGACAACTCCTGGCCTGGGAAATGAGTCCGTTCCACCCGCTAAGAAATGGCCAGCAAGATGAACTATAAATACCCCCGGGGTCTAGGATTCGTGATCGCGCCCTTCGTTGGGAGATTTACCCCTACGCATCCCGTAGGAGCCCAGGCAGGGAAGAAGGGGTGGTGGGCGTCCCAGAGAAGCCTTTCACCCAGATCCTACCAAATACAAAATAAAATACCTTTTCCTCACAGCTTTGGGGTTCGCAAGGGCTTTGCAGCAAGAGACACTTTAGGAGACAAGGAAGGGGGACTGGAGACACCTGAGCCTGCTTTCCATTTGCCACCCCAGCCTGAACCCGGGGGGTCTTTCCTACTCCCGCGGGGGTTGTCCCACTCTCCAGCCAGCAATCCGAGGGCCGCCGGTATCCGTCGTCCTTTCCCTCGGTGCCCGGGAAGACAGCGTGGAAGATGGGTCAAAACCGAAGGCACGGTGCAGATAAAACGCCCACCTTCGTATATATTCTGCACCTTTCCGGGTCTTCTTAGCCGGCGACAGGGGCCAGCAGGACCCAGATACGTGGAGGGAACTGCTAAGTGCCTGTAAGAGAGTTTCGGAGGGGGCTCCAAAACTGCCCCGGAGCCGGGCGCTGTAAGGACTCGGACCTCGGCGTCCCTACAGCCCCGAAGGAGGGGGCGCAGGCGACCCGGACAGAGACAGGCGGGAGAGAAAGAGACACCCGCGACCCAGAATCGCCGTGGGCCTAGTAGCTGGGACCCGCCGGCTTAGGATGAGGTCCTATTCTGAACCCATCACCCTGCCCCCAAAAGACACCGAACCCTTTCAAAAGGGCCCTTGACCCACGCTGGAAGGGACCCCCTGGCGCAGCCTCCTTCAGCCAGGGCGCTCCAGCCACACGGAGCAAAGAGCTGGCGTTTGGAGTTCTTGGAAAGACAATGAGTCAGGCGGGAGCTGAGCTGCACCTGCCGACCAACCCGAAATGTAAGGACAGACTCTACTGTCCCCCCCGGATGGCTCTTAGGATAGCTCCCAGCCTCCTCCCGCCCGATTCTACCCGAGCTCCGAGCTCCAGGGCGACGACCCTCGAGTCCCCGCCGGGGCCGCGTGACCTCCGCCTGCACCAGCAGCGCGACGGCGCTAACGACCAGTGTGCCCGGGAGCCTGCGGTGGCGGGGAGCGGGTGCTAGAGTGGTGAGAAGCCAGGCAGAGTCGTGGGTCGAGAAATTTACATTATTTGATAGTTTTCTTGAAAGGAATGAACCTCACCCATCCCCAAACAAGCGAAAGCATATTCCGACTGCCGCTGAGATAAACCGGATTTAAACTCCTCCTTCTAAAGCTCCCTTAGAGGCGAGGGCACCAGAGGCATCGAGGGTGGGGCCTCCCTCCTGCGCCCCCAAATACTTCATTTGTGGTGGCTCAGGATGATGAAGAAGTTGAACATGTCGGTGTTGGGGGCGGGGGGCAAACCTTCTAGTTGGCAGGTTGGAGGGATCCCTGTGGGAGAGCCTTTCTGCTGTCTGCCCCCTCCAGGTTCTGAGAGCCCAGGGCCCTGGGATACCTTCTCCCTCCCCGAGGCTGAAGGGTGTGTCCCCGTCCCCACCTCCCGCGAGTTCTTAAGGATCTGGTCCCCATGTCCCAGGAAAGAGAATTGTGTATACGTGGGTGAGGGGACCACAACCCACCTATCCCCTGGTCCCAGCACCAGGAGCTTTATAGCCAGAGGCCAGATCTGCAGCAATGGAGGATACAATCCACACACATAAAAACTTAAAATTTTCTTTAAAAAGCTGGACCCCGAAGTCCTCAGGGATTGGGCCCCTCAGTTTTGGTCGGTGCCTCCACCCCCTCTTGGTTTGGCACTTCCTCATTGAGCCACTCTGGGGTGAGAATTCCTTTCTCTACCTCATTAACTTTTCCACAGTCTAAACCCAGACTTAGAGCCCTGGCAAACTGGAGCTCTGAAGGCGAGTTCTGAGCATTTTAGGAAAGCGAGTTCCTGACGTCGGACATCAAAGTCGTCGCTGAGCCAGAGAAACAAAAAGTGAGACAATTCTAGAGTGTCGCACATCCCAAGAAAGGCCTTCAGAGCAGAGCCCAGCTTCTTTCGTTGCGGTCCCAACAGACAGGCCACCAACAGACCGCAGCCAATACAACACAGACGAACTGAGTACCAAGGACAAGAGACACACACGTGCACCCGTCCCCCAGTCACACGCCCCTCACTCGCACAGAGCTACAAGCAGCTCAAGGACTCGGAGCCCTCAGCTATGGTTTGTGCAGGGCCTGGGAACCCACTCTGTCCCTGCCTGTGGGGGGAGCAGTGAACCTGCAGAGCCTTCTACGGAAACAGCCGTAAACTCCCCAAGACACAGCACAGACGTGGAACTGTTTGCCACCAGTCCACACAAAACACAAAGAACAATTGTAGGATACAGTCAAGAAACAACCTACTAGGCTTGAATGATAGGCTTTCCTCTCGTAGTCTCCTCTGAAAAACTTCCCAGGGAAGCTCGGGGCATGCGCTCAGCAGCCCTGGGACAGAAACCCTGCGATGGAGAGCCGGGGCGCAGGAGGGCGCGCTCGTGCGCCCTAGTTCGCAGGTAGTCACTGCCTCAGGGTGAGCAGGCCCTTATTTAAAATCAACCCCGAGAGGACTTAGCTACCCTACCACTAAAAAAGTCGCGGGCGGAAGTACAACCGTTTGGCAAATGGAGTGAGTGGACCCTTAATCTGTCCACGGTGCCCAGGGAGCCCTGCTAAGCACCTGAGCCGGCGGGGCAGGACGCGCGCGCGAGACGTTCGGGCACCTGTTCGGCTACGCACGGATTCTGTTGCGGGCTCTCCCTTCGGGAAAATCTCTGCGCGCGCACAAAGAGATCCACACAGAGACCCTGGGGGTAGTCCCGTCCCGAGCTCGCGCTGTCTTGCTAATTTCGGGCGCGCGAAGAAAGCCGACGGACGAGCAAAGCACCCCCACACCCCAGTCTCTCCCCCCGCAAATCCGAGCCACCCTGAGCGCCAGCCCTCCTGCGCGCAGAGGCTGAGCCCCGCGTTCACCACTTCGTCCCGGGGCTTCTGCCTCCCTGCGTTCCTCGGCTAGCTGGAACGCGGCAAGCGGATTCCCTCACTAGGAGCAGTCGGTCCCTGGCGCGCACGCCGGGAGCGCGGGCCGCGGGGACAGAGCGTGTGGCCGCGTCTTCCGCGCCGCCAGCCCCAGGGGCGGGGGACGCGCTCTCCAACTTCCCGCCAGCTGGGGTGAAGTTGCACTAGCGGTCCTGCGAGCTTTGATGATATGGGGGAATCACCCTCGCCCTCCGTCCGGGCCTGCAGCTTGTACCCCTAGTGCCCCCAAACAGCACTCTCTCCAGCGTTCCCAGAAAAGCTAGGGGCTGGAGTTGCGGGGTTCCGTGCCCTTGGTTCTCCTCAAGCATGATCCGGAAGCTTTCACATTCGGCCCCAAACAGCGAAGAGCCAGGCCCTTCGAACCCACTTTGGCCAGTACCCCTGCCCTGTGACCGCGTCTGAGCCCCGGCCACCAGCCCTCCGGCCAGGGCCACGAGCAGCGTCCGGCCCTCCCCGCACCGGCTGAGTCTGCTTGTTAACTGTCTTGCTACCAAATTAAATCAGCGAGAAAGGGGGGTGTCTTACGTTGCATCGGCACACCGAGCATCTCCGGGAGCCCCTTGACAGTCCCCTCCGCGGGGACAGCCGCGCTCTGCATCGTCTCGGAGCTAGAGCCAGCGAGTCGCAGTCTACGGAGATCTCTCGCGCTCTAGCTCTAGCTGAATTCAGGAATTTGAAAATAATAATGAAAGCCCCAACCAGGCCGCTGAAGCCACCGTGGAAGCCGGGCCCTCGGCCTCTCCGGAGGACTCCCCCCGCCA